CGGTGTCGGCGTTGACGGACACGAGCGAGGCGAGGCCGGGCTGCGGGTCTCGGGGCGGCAGCAGCGAGTAGGTGAGCTGGGCGTTGGCGCCCGAGTCTCTGTCCGTGGCGCTGACGGTGCCGATGTGCAGGGCGGGGCTGTTGTTCTCGGGGACCAGCAGGGTGTAGGAGGCCTGGGTGAAGGTCGGGGCGTTGTCGTTGACGTCGGAGACCTGCACGGTTAGGTTGTGCTGGGTTCTCAGCCTGGGTGTGCCCAAGTCGGTGACCGTGATGGTGACGCTGTACTCTGACTTCTTTTCTCTGTCCAGTGAACCCTCTGTGACCAGGGTGTAAAAGTTCTCGAAAGAAGGCTTCAAAAGAAAGGGGACGTCGTTTTGGATGGAGCAAACTACTCTACCATTGTCCCCGGAATCTGGATCAAAAACACTGAATATGGCAATTACAGTCTCTGGAGAGTTTTCTGGGATGGATCTGCTGAGCGTGGACATGGTCAGTTCAGGGGCGTTGTCATTCACATCTAACACCTCTATAGCCACAGTGCATTTTCCTGAAAGTCCTCCACCATCTGTAGCTGAAATTTCTACGTTATAATATCGAGTTACCTCAAAATCTAATGCTCTTTTCAGATGAATTTCTCCGGTTCGTTCGTCTATTACAAATGGCTCCGTAAAGGCATTGCTTTGGAATAGAGAATAGACTACACTCCCATAAATTCCCTCGTCTAAATCTCGGGCAGAGACGACAGCAACCAAAGAATTAAGGGGACTGTTCTCAGGAATCTGTACTTCATAGAGCGACTGTAAAAATCCAGGAGCATTATCATTGATGTCTAGGACTTCAACGCGTACTGTTGAGGTTCCGGACCTGGGCGGAACCCCACCATCCAGCGCCATGAGCGTTAAACTGAACTCGGGCTGATCCTCTCGGTCCAGCGTTTTATCCAGAACCAGTTCTGGATATTTTCTGCCATCTCCGCGATTGTGAGTCACCACATGAAAATGGGAATTGGGGCTGATTGTGTAGTTCTGAACAGCGTTGCTCCCTATATCAAAGTCCTGGGCTATTTTCAAAGGAAACATAGTCTCTGGCTGGACGTTCTCTGGGATTTTAAGGAGCATTTCCCTCTCTAAGAACTCTGGAGAATGGTCATTTATATCTGTGAGTTGCAGATCACCTTGAAAAAACTGCACCGGGTTTTCCAGTAACAGTTGGAAATGCAACATACAGGGTTCTGTCGCCCCGCACAGCCCCTCCCGGTCTAGCTTTTCTTGTAGAAGCAAATTGCCAGTCTTTACATCGAGCTGCAAGAGCTGTTTCTTTCCTTTGCAATGGATTCGCGCTCCTCGAGTGGCCAGTTCCCCCACCCTGAGCCCCAGATCTTCTGCCAGGTTGGCTACAAGGTAGCCACTTTCTGTTTCTTCTGGCATCGAATACCTAATTGCCTCAGAGCTAGCACCCCCGAAAAACAACAGCGTAACAAGAAAAATCACTTGCCTTTTGTGCAGCGTGGTTGCTAGTGCAGTCTCCATTGTTCAGACCTGGTCCAGAAGGTGCAGTTTCTTCACCTCAGTGTACAATCCACCCAGATGCTTTGGTTAAATAATCATTAATTAAAGGTGGCACACTTGCATTTAGAATGGTACCTTCTCTGAAGATCTCTCCCCTACATGCTATTTAAAATGCTTCCTTCCTTTAGGGAGCATTCAGTTTTGATTCCCAGCATAATGGGCTCCCGATTTTTAGCAGAGACATTATTCACACTCTTATCCTACAGCGCCACCAAGTGTCCGTATTAACTATTGCATAGTATTCAGTATTTCATTCCAAATTGTAACCGTACTATTAATATCCTGTTAATTTACAGAAGCAACTTGATTGTTCTCCAATTCCTAGTTATTGTAAATTGTAAATAAACTTCTCCGGAGTTAATTTTTAGTTAAACAATACTTTAAAAATGAACTAGAATGATATATTAGTCTCCTTAAAAGTACCTTTTGAGTACATGAACAAACTTTATTTATGGACTTATAATTTCACTCCATTCAATCAATAACCTATAATAAATTTTATATACACTTAAAAATTTTTACAGAACTACTTGTTCAAAATACAGCAGTCACCCAGAAAAGGGTACTAATAATTTTATGTATAGTCTAACTTTCATGAAGTTAATACACTCCTATACGCAGAATCTAGATTAAAAATAAAATGCTAACAAACCTCAAGATGACCCCTCTACCTTGTTTGGTTTCTATCTTCCCCTCAAAAGATAAAGATGATGTTGAATTCTATTGTCATAATCTTTTCTCATTTGCCTTTGTTCCAACCTTTATAGAAATAGAATTATATAAAGTAAACTTCTATCTGTCTTCTTTCATTCAACATTATGTTTGTAAAATTATAGTATGCATGTTGTTCTAATTTGCTTTATTTTCTGTGCTTTGTTTCAGATATATGACTATATTGTAATTTGTTTATACATTCTTTAGTTGATAAGTGATTTTTTCAGTTTTGAGCTTTTCTTGATTAGCACTTGATTGCACAAAATTTCCTATATGGCTTTTGTTTATTTTGAATATATTCTTAGACATTGAATTGCTGAGCATTTAGGTGTTCACAAATTTTTAACTTTAGTAAATACTGTGAAAGGTTTCTCAAAAGTAGTTGTACTAATAAAGTATGGGAGTTCCAGTTGCTCCAAATCCTTGTCAACATTTGATGTTGTCATTTCAACTTTAACCATTCAACTGTGTGTGTAGTGATATCATCTTGTAATTTTAATTAACATTCCTCTGGGGATTAATACAAATTCACATTTTAACATGATACTGGTTTATGGATATGTTAAGTATTTGTACAAGTGTTTCTCTAAATATGTATGTGTGTGTGTGTGTGTGTGTGTGTATATATATATATATATATATGTATGAATATATGCTACTTTTCCCCTCTCTATGCTTTGTAGTTTCACTCTAATATGGTATTTTTATGAATAATACTTAATTTTATTTTCTTATGGTTTATCAATATTTTACTATTTTGATTAGCACTTTTTGTATTTTAATTTTTGCATATACCACTGTAAAATATTATCATACGAAGTACTTTTAATTATTCTTTTCCTGTGTAAGTTCATTGCCAATTTAAAATTAATTTTTTTCAAATTAATATGGTTAGAGTCAAATTTTTCCCAAAATGCCAGTGTATCATCTGTTGAAAAGATTATACATCCTTATTTTTGAAGTGTCATCATTGTGACATGTCTTCTCTAGTATTCAATTTTTATCTTTGTTTATCTCACAATACCACATTGTCTTAATTACTATAGTTTTGGTTAGTTTATTTTATCAGGAATTTTATTTCCTGTGAGGTAAGTCCTTTAAGAAAAGATTATTTTAGAGAACAGTTTTAGATTCACAGAAAATTATCACAATGTACAGAAATTTCCCATGTATCCTCCCACACATGCACAACCCTCTCTATTACCAACCTCTCCCACCATTTCTTACAACTGATGAACATACATTAATATACTTACCACTAAGTCCACAGTTTAAATTGAGGTTCACTCTTGGAGCTGTACATTCTATCCATTTGAACAATGTATAATGATGAAACATATATGTTTTTAAGTATCAGAATATTTTCATCGCACTACAAATTTCCTGTGCTATATTTATATCTTCTCCCCTATTGAAAAATCTCTAGAAACCAGGAAACATATTCTAAAATAATGTAGTAGGAAGTCCTTTCACATTTTGACCTCTTTCCAGAATAATATGCATGTAAGTTCTATGACTTTTCATGTGTTGATAGTTCATTTCTTTTTGGTGTTAATAAAAATATTTCATTGTTTGTTTATATAAGAATTTACCTGTTTTTGCCTGTTGAAGGCAATCATTTTAATGGTGATGAATTTAGCTACTATAACCTCTCTATGAAAGTTTTTGTATGGAAATAAGTTTTCAACTCCTGTACCAAATACTAAAAAACATGATTCCCCAATCATATAGTAAGAGTGTGTTTAATTTTGTATGAAATGCCAAGCTGTCTTCCCAAGTGACAGGACCAGTTTTCCTTTTCTGTAGCAGTGAGAGTTCCTGTTGCTCCACATTCTCCTCGGCTTTTGGTGTTCTCAGTATGCTGCAAGTCAGCCATTTTTTGTAGTTCTATCTTACTTTTATTTAATTTGCATTTCCCTCATTACCTATTAGAGCATCTTTTAATATGTTTATTTTCAATACATAGTTATTCTTTGGAAAGTGTTAAGGTTTTTGGTCCATTTTAACATGGGATTGTTTTTTTATTATTGAATTTTTAGTCTTTGTATACAGTATTTTGGATAAGAGTGCTTTATCAAATGTCTTCTCCAAATATCTTCTAGTCTGTGGCTTATCTTTTCATTCTCTTAGTAGAATCTTTTGTAGAGCAGCAACATTTAATGAAATTCTTTTTATCAGTTCTTTTGTGGATCATGCTCTTGGTGTGGCATCTCCAGTTTTAATATTTTTTCTTCATGATTGCATTGGGTATTACTGTCCCTTTATATTTCCATGTAAACTTTATATTCATGTGATCAACTTTCACAAAGAAATTGTGAAATTTATTAGTATTCACAATTTTACCTTTTAAAAAATTATTTCTTCCCTTCCAATCATTGTGCCTTTTATTTCTTCTTTGCCCCCACCCCCAACACATACACTGGTTAGGTCCAATAGTAAAATACTGAATGGAAGTAGACAGGATTGGAATCTCATACTTGATATAAAGAGGAAAGTTTTCAATAATTTAGCATTAAAGATGTGGTTTTTAAAGACACTTAAATATTTCTTCCATTTTCATTTGTATGTAATTCTACCATTAATGTTTGCTGAATTTTATCAAATGATTTTTTTCTGTCCTGGTTGAGGTAATCATGTTATTTTTCTCCTATATCTGTTAATATGGCAAATTACACTGATCAAATTTCAAATATTCCATTTTGGCACTCTTCTAAATTAAGTTCCTACTATTAATCACCTACTATTTTTATATATATCTCCAAATTATATTTTCATATTTTTAAAAGAAAATTTTCATCTAGGTTTATAAATGAATTTGACTTGTGATTTCCTTTCTTAAGTCTTACTCAAATTTGGATGTCCTATTCAGACTATACTGACACCAAATAATTTGGCAAATATATTTTCCCATTCTGAGTTTGTATATACTGGTGTTAATTTTTATAAAAGTATTTGGAAGAATTCACTACTGTAAAGTGGGAAGATGTTTAAAAATTTAAAAATTTCTGGATATGGCTAGTCAGATTTTCTATTTTTCTTGCTTCAGTTTTGTAAAAATGGAATTTTAAAGGATATTTTGGGTAAACTTTGCAATTTGTTAGCATAAAATTATTCTCTCTCTCTCTCCCTCTCTCCTGCTCTCTGTCCTCTGCAGGATTGGTAGTGATTTTTTTTCACTCCTAATATTGCCATTTGGTTTTTTTTTTAATCTTTTTTCTTATTCATCTAAGAGTCTCTAATTTTATTAATCATTACAAAAGAAATAACTTTCAGGTTTACTTATTAGTCCTATAATATAAAACATACATCTGGCATGAATTTAATTGTACTTGTATGTTGTATGTATATCTCTCTACATTTGATTTGCTTTTCATTTTCTAGCTTCATAAGAAGAAAACATTGATTTTGAATCTCTTCTAGGTGAATTTAAAGTTCTAATATAAACACTTAAGATGCATTAAAATTCCCTTTGTTCTGATTTGATTTAATTCTTATTTTTTTACTCAGTTCAAAATATTTGGAATTTTTTGTTGTAATTTCTTGACTCATAGATTTTATTGTTTACCTTTGAAGGATTTGGGGATGACCTATTAGACATTAAAAATCTGCTGTGGTCAAAGAACATACTGAGTCATTTCAATTCATTTTTTAAAATCTGAGGCTTGTCTTTATGACCCAAGTTTTGGACAAGTTTTACAAGAGCCCACATGTATTTAAAAGAATGTGTACATTTTAGGGTGCTATGCATGTCAACTTATTTGAGTAAGATGTCTGTGTTTTTCAGATCTTTAATATTCTGTGTGTTTGTTTATAAATGTGTGTGTTCTGCCTTATTCCATCAGGAATTTGTACAGTAGTATTAAGTTTTCCAATAGGAATGTCATTTGTCTATTGTGCCTTTGTATTTTGCAAACCTAAGTTTTTGCTTAGTAGTTATCTTATGGGGAAGTATTCAATCTTTAGCTCACATATTTCTGGTATATTTAACTCTTTATTATTATGAGGCATCTCTTTCTTCACTAGCAGTATATTTTTTAACGTCTCTGTCTTATGTGAATATAAAACTACATTAGCACTATTTTGCCTAGTGTTTGAATACAACTTATCCTATTTTTAAACTTTCAACCTGTTATCTCTTTATATTTCTCTCTATCTATCACACACACACACACACACACACAATTTGATCCATAAATTTTACCTTTTTCTTAAATCTAATCTTATAATTTGGTTAATTGGACTAATCTATTTGTAATTAATGTAATATCCGATACTTTCCAACTATACATACTACCTAATTCTTTTTCCATTTGTCCTTAAAGTTTTGTTCTTCTTTTATTTTTATTTTTTGGTACCAGGGATTGAACTCCGGACCTTGTGATTGTGAGGCAGGTGGCAGGACCACTGAGCTAAATCCCCAGCCTTTCTTCTTTTGGATTATTGAAATAGTTGTTATTTTAAAAGTTCCCTTCAGTCAGTTTTTTAGTTATTCTGTTAGTGGTCATCCAAGAAATTACAGCATGCATTTGTGATCTAAAAGAATCTAATAAAATTATTCTTTTTTCTAATTCCATGACATAAGGCTTAGAATTTTGGCACTTTTAAACTTTATAACTTTTCCTTTTAAATTGCTGGTATTATGAATTTAAATTTCATATATAACAGATCCTTTAAGAAATCACTGTCATTGTCTGGTATAAGCAACATTTCATCAATTCTGAGTTACATTTACCTTTCAGTTACTTTTCATTTCTTCTTGTATTTGTGATCCAATTAGGGCTTTTTTTTGCCTAATGAATTCCATTCAAAGTATTTCTTTTATTGCAAGTGTGACTGTTATTAATTCTCTTAGTTTTTGTTTTTCTGATAAATTAATTTTGAAGGATATGTTTGATGAATAGAATTCTAGTCTGGGGATAATTTTATTTCAATATTTTAAATACATTATTCTTTTATAATGTCTTTTGTAATATAATGACATCACTCTTTTGTAATTTTGGTTTCATAATTTTGTTAAGTCAGTTGTTCCTTATATAAAGGATCCTTAAAAGTAATCTATCATTTTTAGGTTGATGCTTTTAAGATTGTTTCCCTTTAGCTTTGGTCTTGAAGACTTTTCTGTGATATGGTATGCCTTATTTTTTATTTATCCTGATTAGGATTCATTGTGCATATTGAAGAATTAAAGACATTGCCTATTTTGGAAAATTATTGATCATTATTGCTTCAAATATTGCTTTACCCACATTTACTCTCTCTTATCATTCTAAGATTACAAATATGTGTTAGAGTTTTTAGTTATATTCCATAGGACACTAATGTTTTTTCTATTTTTCATTATTCTTCTCTATTTATCTTTAGTTATAATGACCTGTCACCCATCCACTAGTCTTATATTTCCTTACACCTATGACAGTAACTACTTAAATAGTTTTATGTCAGATACATTTTTCAGTTGTAGAATTATTTTCCATTTTAAAATTTCAATTCTCAGGTACAATGATCTTTTTAATCCATTGCTCCTTATTTTTAACTTATTTGTCATATTAACATCTTTGTCAGTTAATTTGTAGTACCTAGGTCATCTATAGGTCATTTGTGTTATGCTTTTTCAGTTTTACTTATCTCATCCAGTTTATGTGTATGGGCCTAGTACTTTTATTTTTATTGAATGCTTGATATTTTTGTGAAAAACTACCCAGGATTTAGATGATATTATCTTCTTCAAGGAAGAGTTCATCTTTTTTCTTGTGTTAGTTTTAAAGAGCCCTATCTAATCAAATCACCTTTGTCCAAACAGCACCAAGCTTAGTCAAGGTTCTTTGCAGTCCTGATAAGCACCTGGCCCTGCAGAATTTTCAAATGAGAAGTTGTTATAGTCTCTACAGCCCTTCCAATAGCAGGTCTGAAACACTAATCTTTACATAGGAAGACAAACTTTACTCCTCTTTTCACTCTGTTTTTTAGTGTTCTCTGGGCTGGCTTGCATTTGACAAATATCCTGAGGGGGAAAACTAGCACTGAGCTTTAGTGTTTCAGTCTGCCAAAAGCAACTAAAGTTAGCTGGGGATTTAGCTCAGTGGTTCCACTGCCTGCCTCTCACAAGCACAAGGACCCCCCCCCACAAAGCGACTAGAGTTACTCAGATCCTATCAAAAACCTATTGTTTGTTTTCAGACTTAGCAAATTTCAGGAGTGAAGCTGACTTAGGAATTTATTCTCATCCTGGAGGATTTTCCTTCTCAGAAATCTTGGCCATTTATTTCTTATTATCATTTACTTTCTGTTGCATTAAGGAGATACTCTGTGATATTTAGCCAGTATTTATGGTCCCTTTCTGCTGCAGATAATCCATCTAATATAGAAGTTGAACTCTACCAGATACATGAATAAATTTTAACCTCTCATTTTAAATGTAGTTCTTGATTTTTGATCATGAGAAGAGGAAATCTTAGAGTGATATGACCTTACATTGCCTTCAGAAGAATTTCTGTTCCCCAAATGGCATGTGTTAAATCTATACTTTCTGGGCCTAAAAAGAACAGCAAAATAAATGTAAAAGATGCACATATATTAGAAGTATTTGGGCTAAATATATTGAAATTGTTATTAGTATTGACATATTTGGCCTCCATTCTCTATTTTTGTTCTGTGAAAAGAGGCCTATTCCCAGAAGTTATACATGTTGTGAGAATTACTTGGGTTATGCTTATTACTAAATTCTAATAATTGAATTTAAACATATTAATCTATTCTATAGTATGGTGGTGGCCCTTTGCTGGTAAGGAATACTATATGAATACACATACGGAAGAGGTAGGTTCTGGTATTTATTTAGCCAGTCTTCTTTTGGGTGACTACACAAATTAGATTTTCCTCGCATAAACAAATCAAGAGAACTTGGACCTTCATGATGCTGAAATATATTTGTGAAACTGATTTCTTATCATATATAAAAGCGCTTTCATGTTAATAACTAATAACAGATAAATCATTAGAGTTGACTACAATATTTATGTCACATATTTGTATTGTTTTTACTTTTATCTTTTCCTCACTTCAATGTATAAATCAAAGACCAAAATTATATTTTAAGAATAACAACTGGTCATATTTTCCTTTTTATTTCATTATATTCTTATGAAAAATAATTCAAGGCAGAAGTCAAATACTTAATCTGAAGTAGAATAATGCTTCATATTTAAGAGTAAGCATGTTAGATTACAAAGCAAGCTCTTCAACTGCTCCTATTCTGTCAAAAGCTCAATGAAGTTGCTCTGTGTTTATCTCCATATACATTTAACTAGTTAGTAATGACATAATCATCATATGTAGCTTATTGAGTATGACATAAAACAATTATAATTCAGGTAATTTCATTACTGTTCAAATCTACTAAGGGACAAAACAATACATATTTTATACAAATGCAACTTCAGCTTGATTGAAAAATTAAGTTAACTCAAAATAATTGAAGGTTACACTAAAGAGCAAAATGAGAGGATTAAATAACAAACATTTTGTTGATTGGTCATATGTACAAAATAATATAAAGTGAAAAATCTGGCAATAATTTATAATGAAACAGGTTAGTCAATGTTTAGAAGAAATTTTTGGACTCTTGAAAGGCGGGAGAAGCTTCAAAGGAAATTTATACAATAAACATTTAGGGTTGAGGATGTAGCATGATAGTAATGCATGAGGCTCTGGACTCAGCCCATATCCCAGCACCACAAAACCAAACCAAACCAAAAATCCAAAACCCAAAACACTACAGAGTTAGACTTTTACTTACAAGGCAAAAGGAAGGATGAAAAAAATACATGATATTCCAACAGTTTTTAATTCTTCAGTGTAATTTAGGATTTATTTCAGGTTATGAGGTCATTTTTTTCTAAAGGGGTACAGGAAGCAGTAATGTAATAGGGATTTGATTTCTTTGGTTCTGGTGTTAAACTGAACTCAGACTCACATGCATGTATGTTCTACCACCAAGCTGTACCCTCAGCCCCTTACCACTTCGAGTGAAAGAAGTGGAAGGTCATATAAACATCTCTTTATCATTTGTAAATGAGAATTATTTTTTAAAAATAATGCTAGATTTTATGGAACACAATGTGCTAGATATGTAGAAACCAAATAACATAATATCTAACATACATGGTACACACAACAGAAATAGATCACAGTTTTAATGTGCTAATGTTCTAATTAAGTACATTTTTACTTACAATGCAAGAGAAAGGAATATACTAAGTTTCATGCTTCTGGCAATTCAGAAGGCTTAATATGATAGTATAATCAACCAGAAAGGCCATAGTGCCTATAAAAGATTTCAACTGCAGTGAAGCTCAGGGGTAGAATATATGTAAGAGGCCCTGGATTCAATCCTCAGTATCAATAAAATAAAATGAAGAACTTCAAACAATCTAGCCTTGAAAATATGAAGTTATATGGAAAAGACAAGTAGTATAAAAACAAAAATTCAAGATTTCACAAAAATTAAAAATATTTCAATATAAAACATTAACTATGTTGATTAAAATAAAAGTAGTGACAGTCTTACTATGTATTATTGGCTGGCCTGGGATTTACTATATACACAGGCAGAATACTTGATCCTCAAGCGCTCAGCTATACGTTTTTATAGTACTTGAGTAATACATAGCTATGGAAAGATTATTCATGGTGAGAATGTAAAATATCAAGAAAAAATTAAATCATTCAGCACCTCTAAAAATACTAAATACAGAAGTAAAATGGAGGGAATAAGATCAGTGCTCTGAGGGACACGAATAGCTTTAGAACACTAGTTTGAATAGTTACATAACAATTTCTTAAGAGAGGCAAAATGCAACTGAACTTTGCAAACTTAATGAGATTCATTGAACAAATGCTACACTTAACTGAATACAAAACTATTCCTGCAATCGGAGTTTTCCTTAGCCACTCTCCCAGTATCCTGAACCACAAGATTGGGGAAGAGAGGCTTCAGGAATTTGAACTCACCAGTCCCAGAGTCGCCAGTGAGACAGACCTCATACCGGTAGCTGTGGGACAGCGTCCCAGCGCCGCCGACGTCCACCAGGCGGCCCGGAAAGGGGCCC